TTCCGAGGTGAGTGAAATGAGGACCCAGACTTTGGGGGCGATATGCTGACTCTGTAAACCGCTTAGAGAGGGCTGAAAGCCCTATGAAGCGGTATATAAGTCTAACTGCTATTGCTATTGCTATTGTCCACAAGGACTCATAGATTACTCTCACAGTTACTACTGTTGAGCCAGGTACCACCGATTCTATATTTGTTATTTTGGTTTTTCTTCCTTAATGTACTGTTAATTTTTCTCACTGTTGATTTTCATTTTGTTAGATAGGACTCAGTGTTCAGGTCTGTCAAGATCCTTCTGTATCTTGAGCATCTCTTCTGAAGTTGGGCTATTCCTGCCAGCTTGGTATCGTCTGCAAATTTGACGAGTTTCCCTTCTATCTCCTCATCTAAATCTTTGATGAAGATATTCAAGATTACTGGGCCTAAGACAGAATCTTGGGGTACCTCACTGTAAACTTCCCTCCATGTAGATGCAGTTGCATTGAGGACTATACTTTGAGTGTGTTTGGTCAGCCAGTTACAAATCCATTTGGTGGTGATGCTGTCCAACTCAGGGGTCCCCAAACCCCAGGGCGTGGCCCACTACTAGGTTCAGAACTGGGCTAAAAAAGTGGTGGATGAGCATGTGCAAAGGGAGCTGTGCATGCTCACCCGCCGTTCACACGGAACCATCCTCTCTCTCCCTCCTGACAGTCTACAAAAGTGGAAAGGTGGGGATCACTAGTCTAAACCACATTTTTCAAGTAGCAGGTTGTGATCTATTTTATCAAATGCCTTACTGAAGTCCAAGTATATTATATCAACAGCATTTTGCTCATTCACTAATTTTGTCATTTTGTCAAAAAATGCAATAAGATTTGTCTGGCATGATTTGTTCTTGACAAACACGTGTTGGCTTCTGGTTATGACTTTGTCTCTAGGTGTTTACAGATTCCTTGCTTGATTATCTTTTCCAGGATTTTCCCAAGTATTTATGTCAGGCTGATAGATCCGTAGTTTCCTGGATCCATTTCCCCCCCTCTTTTTTGAAGATAGGAATTACATCAGCCCTTTTTCAGTCATCTGGTAGTTCATCAGTGCTGCAGGATCTTTGAAAAATATGGATCAGTGGTTCTGAGATCACATCTGCCAATTTCTTCAGAACCCTGAGGCATAAACCATTCGGTTCTGGTGATTTGAACTTGTCTAGAGCGGTTCACCGACAAAACCGCGAAGCCCTTTTCCGCGCCGACATAACCGCAGAGGGCAAATCCGCGCCGTCCGAAGCGCTAAGCAAAATGCGACCCTAGCGCGCCGACATAACCGCGGAGGGCAAATCCGCGCCTTCTAGCATTCAAAAGCTAACCCTAATCCTAAACCTAACCCTAAACATAACGCTAACCCTAAACCTAACCCTAAACCTAACCCTAAACCTAACCCTTAACTTAAATCGGCTTTCTGTCGCCGCGCTGTTCTAAAGCGCCCTTCTGTCGCCGCGCTGTTGTCGCTGCGGTGATGACATCGCGGTTTTAGTGACACGGTCTTGTCGGCGCGCTTTTGTCGTGCGAGCTTTTGTTGGGTCACGGTCTAGAGCAGATATGTGTTCCGTTACTATTTTCTTGTTTATTTTGACTTGCATTCCTAATCTGCATTTTACAATTTTTTATAGGTTAAACTGTTGTTTTTTTCTTTTTCTGTAAAAACAGATTGAAAAAATGAATTAAGCAGTTCTGCTTTCTCCCTGTTGCTCATCACCTTCTTGCTACTCTATTTTCTCCCATTAATGGACCAATTGTTTCCTTGACTTTTTTCTTGTTTTTACATGTTGAAAGAAGTTTTGTGTTGTTATTTTTTTTACTTTTGTTACAAGCCTTATTTCATTTTCAGCTTTAGGTTTCCTGACTTCATCTTTGTAGGTTCAGCTATTCAGATATTCATCCTTAGTTATATGCCTCTGTTTCCACTTTTTCATTATAAAAGTTGTATTACTGTGCAGTAATACGGTTACAGATGTTATAGCATTTTATCGTGAGTTATTAATGTCATGTATTGCATAACAACTTAGAAAAATGGCTTTGATTATAATAGCAGCTAAATCAAACATAGTTTATTTGGTGTCTTGTGTACAATTGATATTAAATAATTTATTATTGTTTACTGTTTTTCCCAAGCCTTTTTGCATAGACAATGTATTGTAACTGTATTATATAATATGTTGACTGTGTCTTTTCTTTCTAGTGTTGCAATGGATGGATTTGGCCAGCCCATAGGTATTCCAAGCCGCCCAACTACTGCTTATGGGTATCGACCAGATGAACCTTACTACTATAACAACTTTGGATCCCGATAAAGAAATCTACCATATTAAACTTCCTGTACTGTTGAATTGTGTCTTAATTAGGGCATTTTTTATTGTCAATGCATGATGCTACTGTTTACATGACTGTGATACATGTTTGTTGTTGCCCCAGGAAAATGTTAGTAATTCAAATTCCCTTCCTTCTCCATCTATGCATTATTTCTGTTGGTCCCCCCCCCCCCAGATGTTGAAGTCTATTAACTGGAAAGTTAATGTTATGTATATTGAGCAATTAATTTAATTATCTTAAAATAGACCGGGTGATTGTTAGACTGTACGCCCAGGGTCCATGAGTTAAATAAATGACTTTTTTGTTTTTGAATAAAAAATTAATTGATGTATAAAAGATATAACTGGTTTATGCTTTATAATGTCTTTGAAAAAACTGAGTAATATTCTTAGTACCTTTCCTTTCTGTGAGATTTTCCCCAGGATGTGATAAGTTGTACTGATGCCATTTCATAGCACAGATGTGATATACATTTTAAATTGAAAATCAATTGAAATTTCATAATGTATAATGCTGTTTGCAAATTGTAGGATGAATTATAACTTTGGTACTTATCCTATATCAGAAATGTTCTGCACAGTAGCCAAAAGAAGCTAGGGATACAGTTAACCTTAACTTTTTTTCAGGAACAGTGACTAAATAATATAATATACAGTAATTTTAAAATATGTAGAATTCCTTTTTTCACCAACTTTCTTGGCTCTCAGAGTCTCTCCATGGAGCTTTTGCAATCTTTCTCACCTTTCCCTCCCCCCAGTTCTTTGGCAGGTTGAATAGTGATAAGGCTCGAACATTTCAAAAGCGATTCAATCTTAACAAAGATAATTAAATTGGCATCAAAATATTTTTTCTAAGCTTATTTGTTACTGGGGTCACAGTTCAGACAGACTCAGCCAAATTTATTTTCCTGAGGTATAGGATACTTAGTTAAATTTCATTGGGTAAAAAAAGGTGCTGACAGAAATGTCATACAATACATTGTCCCTTTTTGTCTTCAAAATCTGCAACTTGTTTAAAAAACTTCTTCATTTAATAATCATTTTCTACGGGACTGCTAGTGTCTTGATAGCCCTTTATTTTTCAATCTGAAAAGAATATTGGCCGTAGCATATGTTGTATTACAGTTTTTGGACTTGATTTCAAGGACGCTATGCCTGCCTGAACTGTAGATAAATGCATTGTTACAGAGTGGACTAGAGGTCTGCACTCTTAAACATTCAAAAGTCATTTGGACTCGTTTCCCACAGAAAACATCGGGAGCCATAAAACCTGGGTTGGCATGGCCAACTCGACATCACTCACTCCCACCCAGTCACATGATTCCCTAGCCACGCCTACCCAGCCAGTCTTTAGGGCAGAGAACTGGTTGTTAAAAAACACCAGGAACCATAAAACCCTTTTGACACCCGCCTCGCTCTGCTTCTCTGTATCTCGCTATGTCTCTCCCCTCTCTATCTTTCTCCCTATCTTCCCCTCTCTCTCCTTCCCTCTGTATCTTTCCCTCCCTTTCCCTGTATCTACTCCCTCTCCCTCTATCTCTCCCCCTCTCCCTATCTTTCCCCCACTCTGTCTCCCTCCTCTCTATGTTTCTCCCCCCCCTATCTCCCCCCCCCTCTGTGTGTGAGTGTGTATTTCTCTCTGTCTCTCTGTCTCCCCTCTCTCGGAAAGCCGAGGCTGGGCCAACCTGGCGATTTCCCCTTGGGCTCTTCGCTACTCCTTTTCTTTCTTAGGAACTTTGAAAATCCAGGCTGGCTGATGAATGAGCATGAGCTGCAGCAGAGGCTTCCCTTTGGGCGACCTTCCTCCCCCTCCTGGCTGGATGTGCTGGGCCAGGAGAGTGCGCACGAGCAGGAAAACCCTCAAGTGAGTGGCTGCCTACCCCATGTGCGCCTCTGCTGTGCTTCGGCTGAGCCTGGCCACTCTAGGCAGCAAAAGTCCCCGTGCAAGTTTTAAAGCTGCAGCTGGGCACTGAAGGACCATCCCCCTTTCCGTTGTCCCATCCTCTGGGATCCCATTCCCACCCTGCCAGCCCTCGTGTTAGCAAGACCAGCGTTGGTCACAGCCAAGTTGGGCCAATGTCTCAGGGAGGAGAGCAAGCAGGTTGTGCATCTCCCCAAGCGACTGAGGCACACCCATCACCAACAAGGGCTGAAAGAAGCTCCAGCAAGAGTGAGGCGCTGGAGAACCAGCCCCGGCCACTGGTCCATTCTCCACTGTTCTCTACCGTCATCCTTACTTCGTCAGGCAACGCAAAGAGTGACTGAGATGGGAGGACGAGGGACGGGCCAGTGCAATCACCTTATGGAGCCATAGCAGAGGGCCCAAAGAGCCGTATGCGGCTCTGGAGCAACGGATTGCTGACATCCGGAGTAGACATTCTCAACGGAAACTTATTTCAAAGCAACTATTACATAGGATCTGTGCTGCAGTTCTTGACACAGTTCAAATAGCAATAACATCCGTTTGGGGAAGTTCACTCTTGAAAAAAAGAAAGTCCAGGCTTAAATTTTAAATGTTGGATTACTTTAATATTTAAATAGTTAAAACAAAAAATGATATTAATGCAATCCCAAAATTATAAATTACATAGATACTTCATTTGTATATGACATAGCTGAAGTTTTCCAGGTAGTTCCCTGTTCTGACCCTCTCCTCCGTCCAGTAACGGAAGCCGAGACAAGCGTAAAATGGAATGTCCTTTAATAACAAGACCAGAATCTCGGTGGCTGAAAGCCAAATAAACAAACAGATAAGGACTTTGGCAGCAAGTCCGACAAACCTTGGCAGCAATGCAAACAAACTCTGGCAGCAATCCAGCCTGCCAAGTTTGTTTCTCTTTAGTCAAATGTTGACTTCTGCAAGAAGGGCGTGGCACAAGCAGTCTCTTTTATAGTCTGGGAGAGGAGTTTAATAACCATCAGCTGAGCGTAATTACCTCCTGTAATTATGTAGTTGTTCTTGACGCCAAGTAGCCCTTCGATGGCGT